TAAACAGTTTTATCGCAAATTCAAGCATGACGGACAGAGTTGATAAATAGATAAAATCGATAGTCAAAGCAAAAGGTAGTTTCAATGATGAGGTTTCTACTTGACTCGAACTTTACGTTCGCGCTTATCTATTCAAACTTGCGCTCATTGGTCAGCTGAAAACGACAGAGTGAGAAGCGGACATCGTAGTCGACAGTTTGCAGCGCAGTACGCACGAAGGTAAAAAAAAGTAATGAGGAACAAATTAAGAAAATGCTTGCGCGTCTTGTTTGACCTACGAATACTCGACGAGTTAATTTGGTGCCACTGAGGCAGCGCTGAGCAGTCACTTGTAATAGACGCTCAGTTGGTCGAACCTAACTAACTGGAAAGTTCAGTCCTTGAAAAAATTAGAAAGCGAACCATTAGATGCCTTCGCTCGTACTCGAATTGCTCAAATAAAAACGGCCAGTAAATAACACATGCGCACTTCTTACGAAGGGAACCGAATGCTCATTTATCCTTTTCTCAATATTAGTTTTCATTGGACAATAGCAAAACAGGAATGAAGAACATGAAACTCTGTGAAAATGACCAAATCGATAAAAGCAGAAAACTCACTTCCTAGAAAATACGTCCGACAACTCCAACGACCTACTCGTCGACCTAGCGCACACCTAACCTATGGGACGCCGTCAGTACGGTCATGATAACTGGTTTTGCCGCTCTGTTTAACAACAACGGCAGTTCTTTGCAGGTGAAGTTGAGAGAGTTCAGCTTGCTTAGCAATCACCAAGTCCTGTTTCTGCTAGCCAGGCGAACCAACTGGGCTCTGACAATAGAAGATGTCTTACCCTCATCGGCTTACGTAAACAGTGAAAACGTTGGAAATGGTCACTGCGCAACGTCACCGCTACGGTTGTCTTCACTACCATAACAGAACAACGGTGCGGAGATAAGTTCAAACAGTGCGATCGACGCCAGGTATGATTTTCAGCCTTTGGGCAATGAGTTTTTGAAATCAATGGTCGGTCTTAGCTTGGCAGCGGCGCAGAAACTAATAACAATCACTAAGAACTACCGACGTGCATAAGCCTCTCTTATCTTCTGCCTATGAGTGTAATGTACCTAAACTCAAATTCACTACGGACCTACGCTGTCTCCCACGCGTAACGGCACTAAGATAACAAACCGCTTCAGTTAGTTTTCATTTTCTTCAGCAACTTAACTCCAACCCAAAAAAAAACAAAGTGAGCATAGGGTCGACATGCCGCTGTGTAATGAGCAAAATTCAAGAGCAAAACTCAATGACGGCGATTTTCCCTGTTGGAATGAAACGATGATTACATCGACTGGAAGCCGCTAAGATTGGCAGCTTTTCGGTAACCACTGTTTCAACAAGGAGAGCGCAGTTTCCTCCAAAAGGTCGCAACCTGAAAGTGAACGCATAATAATAGCAGAGAAGGAAATGAACGCGTTTGCCTGCATCTCGATTCGTTGAATAGCGCTCTTTCCAAGCAGCTACAAGTAAGTTGACGTATTCAACTTTGCGGAAATACTTCAAGTAATATTGGGAAAAGAATGTTGGTATAATTGGAGCGAACTTTCCCCGTCGATCGTACTCGTCTTCCATATCCAACAGGAAGCGAATATCGTACGAAGTCAGATGGTTCAAAATTGAAAGATCAACCGTCTGAACACTTGTGACCATTATGAAGAGACAATTTGCAACCCGATCAGAGCTACCTTTGTCTTTGCGAAGGCACGTTCAAAATGGGATATTTTGGCTTTCGAACGCTTGGATGGTTCGACGGCGTACGGCTTCAAGAAAAAATTGAAGTACTGCAAACTCTCCGGCGATCGCTCGCTGAAATGATCGAGTCAGTAAGCTCACGAAGACACAGAAGTCTTCGTCGAACATGTTTTCAGCCTGAGCTTGGAGCACTAAATCGTCCGACGGGATTTGAACACCGGATATGTTCAGCACGTCTTGAACTAGCGACGTCTTAACTGCATAGTCGACCTCGTTGGAACAACGGACGCTTGGCGAAATGTTCACTTCAATAAGCCATGGGCGAAGTTCGCTATCTACCAGAATATCGAAACCGTACAATTCGTACGCCATAAAATTCGCTCCCATCATTTTTGACATCAAAGCATTTATTGGGCTTTCGCAACTACAAGCAAAAAAGGGAATATATGACCTTAGCGCTTGAATCTGGACCTTTCCTGTTTCATGCCCACAAGTCATACTGTAACTTTTCAAATTCACCGAGAAAATGCAGGTTCCGATGGCGTCACTCCCGTCGAAGTGACGCCATCGGAACCTGCATTTTCTCGGTGAATTTGAAAAGTTACAGTATGACTTGTGGGCATGAAACAGGACAGATCCGTCGAATCTGTGCTAACTCGTTTACCTGATAAGTGCTTTAATGACCAGGTCGAGAATTTTAACAACCAACGCCGAATTGTCGATACCCTTTTCGGCCAGGTAGTTCCAGAATTGGCTTAACGTCCTAACAAAAAGGGCAAAAGTATAATAAGCAAAATGTCTACTTTTGCGCGAGATTGTTGGAAAGCAAACCATTTAAGTTCGCTGCTATCCAAATCTACGTCGACTAAGTCGGCAGCGTTCTTGTTGACACTGAAGTTGGTCAAATGCACGTACTGATTATTCAGCGAGCTAACGTCCGCTGTGTACCTAAACATTATATGACCCAGTTAAATGCCAACATTTATTTAAATTACAGGCTAATGTAAGTCGGCAAAAAAATGGAAATGCATGTACAGATAGCTTACTTGCAGCTGGCAAAGCGAACTATACCCTCTTCGTATATATAGGCTCTTAGCGGTTTCCAACAGGAAACCAAAACGTATAGGCGAAGGTCGAACTTAAACCCGTTTATCAAGAACGGATTTGTTATGTACCTAATAGAAGACACAGTTCACGGTTGGAAAATAATTTTTGAAATCATACCTCTGCACAATGAGCGGTTTGTGCTCCGGTATATTCCACGTCTTATTTGTCAGTCGAATGCCTTTGCCGCGGGAAGAAGATGGCTAAAGGATGAACTTCGAAAATAGCTTTCAACCTGGACGCCAGTGAAGATAATCTATTCGAAAAGACACGTACCGGTTTCAAAATAAACACTCCACAATTGCCTGAGTTTCGTTTCATCCTTGCAAGCAAGGCGCGACGCTGCCTAGGGAGAATGTATGTCTCGGGTGCAAAGCTAAACTCTTCCTTCTTCCACCGTTTGGCCATTTGCTCGAGACTTAAGCATAGGCGATCTTTGCGACCAAGTAAAAAGTTGCCAGGGAAATGGTTTACCTAAAAAGAAGCGTGTTCAAAAATTTAAACACCCTCGTAAACTCTACTTTCTGGAATGGCATAAGATTGGCGAATTCGGAGACTTTATGCCGTTGGCCCCAATAGCCAAGCCATGGCTCGGTTGCTTAAAAACGAAAAAGCACCATGCAAAGCGAGTAGCCAAAATTCGTGGAATGTCGAGTGGTTGAGATGGTCAACAAGTATTTTAGGTAATACGGTGACTATTTCCCTTTGGAACTTATTTGAACTTATCTAAGTCGGCGCTAAAAGCAAGTTAACCTGGAACAATGGAAAAGCCATGTTCTATCAGCATTTTCTTCACTATTTTTGGAAACAAAGTACTGCTGGACCATAGAAGCTTCTTCCGGATATTACTGTTCGGTTCCGGCACTGAAACTGCAACGAATAATTCGAACAACCAAGCAACCGCTAAGCACCTTCGCCTTTACGATTTGCGCAGAAATTCACCGTTGGTGGTATAAAGGAGAAACGGCTTTTCCTCCAAAACGGACAGCTACTACTATCCGCCACTCCAGCACTTACGTAATCGCTCATTTGAAAAACCGGCCCAGTTGAAAAGTCACTAAAAATTATTGAGGCCTTGAGCACGCATAAACGGTGCCACACAGTCCTTAGACGGCGACACAGGTATACAGGAACGCGAAAGGTTACATGGATAGGAGATCCGGGAACATTATCACATCACATAACGACTGAAATCAATAATGCTATACTATCAACATTTTACGGGGAAGAAGTGAAATAGGAATCTCTTTTAAGCTATT